GTAAACCCGTGCGTTTGAAATGCCACCAGGCCTTGCAGGCGTGGCATTGCATACCGCGTTTGACGTTCGACGGGCAGCCATTCCGCCCACATCTATTGTGGTCTACCAATGGCTGCGGAGGGCGATCGGTATGGATTGACGTCATGTTTCGGACTAGATGTAAAATAGGTGTGCGCGAAATATGAAGGGTTATAACTCAAATGTTTTGTTAGAGTAATAAAATTCAACAATTACTCGTGTGTACTCTGTGAATAGACTGAACAACGGAAAAAATTTTCACGAATTTGCACGAGGGAAAAACGAAACCGATTTCGAACACGGATGCAGTAAACCAGGATATTCTAAGCGATCCATGTGCGAAATACTGGGTTGACATCTGGTGTTTGTGCGGTCTTTTGGCTCCCTTTTTGAACGATTAAGCTTACATTGAAGTAGGGCACTCAGTATTCGCTCAATGGAATGGGATTCTCGAACGTTATGACGTATCCCTGATGGACTAAAGAAATCAGGCGATTGAGTTGAGAGTAATAGTCCAAACTTTCGAGCCGCGCTTAGGCATCGCGGGGTGTCAGCGATGCTGGGAAATTATTCCACCAGACTTTTCCCCCGTATGCGTGGTTGCTCCAGTGGACAATGAAACTGATCAGCTGCAAAAATGTGGGGGTAGATAAGAATGGTTTTTGGTGAGGGCACATGCGCAACAAAACACAGCATTTCGACGGAAGACTTTTGCTCCGCCTGAAACGGTTTTATAGCCAAGAGCATTCGGCGGCTATTGGGCCCCGTGAAGAATGTGTATTTATGATGACTTACATTAGAAAATTGAAGTTAGATGTAATGTTTGGTTCGGCCGAACAGTCGAACATATATCTGTCAAGTCATTCTAGTCTACTTCCCCTGCTTTTTTATGTTTTTTCTTATCATTTCGTTTTCTGTTTCCAACTCAGCATGCGGCGACGGCAACATTTGTAAGGAATTTGATAGAAGATAAAGTAATTTTTTACAGCAAACGTATCCACCTTTCCTGGGTCCATTTAGCTTACTGTCATCTTCTTGTAGATTTTTTTATGTTGACACCATTGTATTTTATGCCTCCTGACACTCGCCACACGCTATTGCTTTCATTCTATTTCTTCCTCGTTGCCCGTCTCCCCGAGTTTCAAACCTCGACTGCGGTTGACCAAAGCCCAGTAGAACTGTTATTCATTCAAACTGGCTTGTCCCCGGTCTATATTCACACGGTTCCCCAACGAAATGGAAATTATCCGTGAGCCGGCATCCTCCTGCCTTCCTGTATCGATCTCCGTCTCGCCCAGAACTAGCTGCCACGGAACCGTTTATCCATTCTCCGATCGTGGCACCCTTGACGACCGTTACGGGGCTGTCCACAACCGAAATATGCCAGAGCAATGATAACAAGACAATGTCATACCCAGTGAGATGGCACTCCCGGAACTATTTTCTTCAGAATCGCGACCGCAACCCCTCGCCCACTCAAGCCTGTAGTGGCAACTACGAGCAGATTTTTCATCCGGCCCCTCTCTTGAACAAGCTCTTTTGTACACGATGAATTTTGGCTCAAATTCAGCTAGCCCGGTTTTTCTGCTACATCTTCTGTTTGCCTCATCCACAAGTTCAGATCAATAAACGGTGTTCGGGTAGCCCTATTTATTAGCACATTGCCCCCATCTAATTTATCCCCTGCATACGACTTCCCTACGACAGTGCAACCAGTGAGTCTGCTTCGTTTAAGATTGAACCACATCTTTGAGACAAAACTCGCCATGTGCTTTCAATGTGAATTGTTTCATCTCCATCACCACTTTTGTTCATTGTAATTCTGACCGATTACCCAACCGTCCAAGGTCACTCTTGGCCAGCAATGGCTTTTAGCTTTAATTCGTGCACTGGCTACGCCCTTGAACTAGTTGGACCTCATACCCATTGTTCCCAACAAGCTGGGATTTAAACCCATTATTATTATTATCTCATCTGATGATCCCCACTGTTAATGACATGTTCCTCTCTTCGTGAAATCCGCACCCCCACAAGCCCCCCAGCCATGCTTCATTCTGTCTGTAAGCAGGTGATCATGCCAGACGGTATGCCACCCACAGGTGTGGCATAAACCTTATTACTATTATTATTATTATAAGATTTTCATTCCATGATAATCTACCAAGTGAGCAAAGAACTTGTCGGTCAGCGGTAGATGTTGAACACTCAGGTGTTAGGTAGCCAATTTTGCAACTTGTCATACCCGATCTCACCTTTTGTTTCGTATGCACAACCTCAGCCAGAATTACTTTGCGAGCTTGTGTAATGCTTTGCGAGAGGGAGAAGTTTCGCTGCATGCTAGGCAGTCGGATGAAATTGGGGAGCTGACTCATGCTGCAAATTTGCATTCGCAGTGCGAACAGTATTTCGTGTGGGTATCGAAGGATTGACGAGCTTCTGCGTACAATTAAAATTTCGTCACGGACTATTGGTAGGTTGGACTGCATCTGCCGATCGGAATGAAACAATTAGATACGCTTTTTGAAAGTTGGAATGTACGATCGGATTAGCATATACGGCAGTTGCCCCATAATGTTCGATTGAATCAAGGATTGACAGTTTTTTGGTGTCAACCCAGGATTGTGTCAGATATCCTAGTCTCATGAAGGTAATTTAGTTGGCATCTCGGTGTTGCCAATCGAGTTGTGATCATTAAAGATGAACGTCAGCAACTCGTGCTCATTATGGAATGTGTCGACTGGTAATCACCTGAGAGTGAGTTCGTGTTCGTCGGCGTATTACGTGAAAATTCTCGGATTAAATGATTCTGAATCCATAGTGATATTCGATACAAATGCTCAGGGTAGTGTTTGGTGACATTTTGGGACAATTCCGTCACATAGGCAATCAACGATGTACCAGATATCGATCAGTCATCAGAGTCATCCGGATATGTTGGTGGAGATAAACGAATTACACACACTCATGGAAAAGTTGGGGCAGATTTTTCTGGGAGGAGTAGAGGTTAACGCAGAACTCCGCCAAATGTCTGACGCGATGTCGATGAAATCCCACCCACGTCGATCAAAGATAGCCAACCTATAAGACAGCTGTATAACCGTGGAAAAATTTGGCCTAATGTACCCGTTTAGTTAAGTTACACAGAAAACTGCTGTTCAATTTTCATGAATCTAATTTTCACTATCGGGTAGTAGCAGACCTATCCTAGACGACTTTCCAGTTATCAACCATAGATGATACAGCAGTCACGCGGAGGGTTCTGCCTCTACTGTTTTGTCGATTTTTGCTTGGTAATTTCGTTGTACACGGAAGATTAAATCGAGTGATTTTTGAAAACCCATGCGTGTACATTTTACACTTGTTTGCTGAGGTAGGAAGCATCACAGCCCCAAAAGGACGAAAAACTTTCATAAGTGTAGGAATGAATGAAGAAATTGTGGTTGAGTTTCACCGTCGAAACACGACTAAGGGGGGCAGGACTTTATAAATCAACGTTTCAACTAGCAATAGTTATCTCTGACAAGCCATCCGGAATCACAGGATGAACGGAGTTGAGGCCTAAATAGAGGCACGTGGTTGATTGGTCAATATTTCACAGACATCATTCTGTGGATGCAGCTAAGACTGTCCGTCCTCGGATTGGTACTCCAAAGCCATAACTGCGCTGTAAAATTTGGGCAGAAATGATATTATCATCTAGACGGTTCTATTGTGTGCAAATTATGTAAGGTCGGGAGAGCAGTGTTTTCCTTGAGTTCCTGTACCATTGTAAACTGGTTGGTTGCCTTCACACAGAAAGCTATTTCCTCGGTGATGGTCTTCTTTTCAAAGGATGCAGACCCTGCAAGCAGTGTTGGTTTTACCCAACCGTCCAAGGTCACTCTTGGCCAGCAATGGCTTTTAGCTTTAATTCGTGCACTGGCTACGCCCTTGAACTAGTTGGACCTCATACCCATTGTTCCCAACAAGCTGGGATTTAAACCCATTATTATTATTATCTCATCTGATGATCCCCACTGTTAATGACATGTTCCTCTCTTCGTGAAATCCGCACCCCCACAAGCCCCCCAGCCATGCTTCATTCTGTCTGTAAGCAGGTGATCATGCCAGACGGTATGCCACCCACAGGTGTGGCATAAACCTTATTACTATTATTATTATTATAAGATTTTCATTCCATGATAATCTACCAAGTGAGCAAAGAACTTGTCGGTCAGCGGTAGATGTTGAACACTCAGGTGTTAGGTAGCCAATTTTGCAACTTGTCATACCCGATCTCACCTTTTGTTTCGTATGCACAACCTCAGCCAGAATTACTTTGCGAGCTTGTGTAATGCTTTGCGAGAGGGAGAAGTTTCGCTGCATGCTAGGCAGTCGGATGAAATTGGGGAGCTGACTCATGCTGCAAATTTGCATTCGCAGTGCGAACAGTATTTCGTGTGGGTATCGAAGGATTGACGAGCTTCTGCGTACAATTAAAATTTCGTCACGGACTATTGGTAGGTTGGACTGCATCTGCCGATCGGAATGAAACAATTAGATACGCTTTTTGAAAGTTGGAATGTACGATCGGATTAGCATATACGGCAGTTGCCCCATAATGTTCGATTGAATCAAGGATTGACAGTTTTTTGGTGTCAACCCAGGATTGTGTCAGATATCCTAGTCTCATGAAGGTAATTTAGTTGGCATCTCGGTGTTGCCAATCGAGTTGTGATCATTAAAGATGAACGTCAGCAACTCGTGCTCATTATGGAATGTGTCGACTGGTAATCACCTGAGAGTGAGTTCGTGTTCGTCGGCGTATTACGTGAAAATTCTCGGATTAAATGATTCTGAATCCATAGTGATATTCGATACAAATGCTCAGGGTAGTGTTTGGTGACATTTTGGGACAATTCCGTCACATAGGCAATCAACGATGTACCAGATATCGATCGGTCATCAGAGTCATCCGGATATGTTGGGGGAGATAAAGGAATTACACACACTCATGGAAAAGTTGGGGCAGATTTTTCTGGGAGGAGTAGAGGTTAACGCAGAACTCCGCCAAATGTCTGACGCGATGTCGATGAAATCCCACCCACGTCGATCAAAGATAGCCAACCTATAAGACAGCTGTATAACCGTGGAAAAATTTGGCCTAATGTACCCGTTTAGTTAAGTTACACAGAAAACTGCTGTTCAATTTTCATGAATCTAATTTTCACTATCGGGTAGTAGCAGACTTATCCTAGACGACTTTCCAGTTATCAACCATAGATGATACAGCAGTCACGCGGAGGGTTCTGCCTCTACTGTTTTGTCGATTTTTGCTTGGTAATTTCGTTGTACACGGAAGATTAAATCGAGTGATTTTTGAAAACCCATGCGTGTACATTTTACACTTGTTTGCTGAGGTAGGAAGCATCACAGCCCCAAAAGGACGAAAAACTTTCATAAGTGTAGGAATGAATGAAGAAATTGTGGTTGAGTTTCACCGTCGAAACACGACTAAGGGGGGCAGGACTTTATAAATCAACGTTTCAACTAGCAATAGTTATCTCTGACAAGCCATCCGGAATCACAGGATGAACGGAGTTGAGGCCTAAATAGAGGCACGTGGTTGATTGGTCAATATTTCACAGACATCATTCTGTGGATGCAGCTAAGACTGTCCGTCCTCGGATTGGTACTCCAAAGCCATAACTGCGCTGTAAAATTTGGGCAGAAATGATATTATCATCTAGACGGTTCTATTGTGTGCAAATTATGTAAGGTCGGGAGAGCAGTGTTTTCCTTGAGTTCCTGTACCATTGTAAACTGGTTGGTTGCCTTCACACAGAAAGCTATTTCCTCGGTGATGGTCTTCTTTTCAAAGGATGCAGACCCTGCAAGCAGTGTTGGTTTTGGACTGCCACCTCCATCTGAATGACGAAATGTGCGTCCATCTGTCGTTTGGAGGAGACGCAGCGAATACCTTTTCCATGCATGGTGAGAAAGGACCAGAAAACATCATAAGGATAGACGCCAAAAAGGATTTGGGTATCTGGGTCTCCTCAAACTCGTCCTTCTCACAGCACCATTAGAAACCGGCCCAAAAGGCCTTCGCCACTTTACGAATGATCCGATGCGTCTTCTCCCCTATCACTCGCATGGACTCAAACGCTTTACGGGCCTACGTCAGGCCGCTCCTGGAACACACCAACCAAGTTGTCTACTCAGGATGCACAAAAGACTTTACCCTCATTGAGCGTGTCCAGCGAGCTGCTACGATAATGGTTGCCAGCCTCAAATCTGTGGACTACGAAACGCGTCTCGTGGTGCTCGACCTATTTCTCCTGGAGTATCGTCGCCTCCGAGGGCACCTAATTCTTACTTATGCCCTGTTTGGACAAAGTTTGGCCAACAGGTTTTTCACCGTTGACCCAGCAAACACCCGGCGGGAACATGGTAAGAAGATTTTCAGGCTCAGGGCGCACACACTCTTTAGACAAAATTTTTTCTCATTTCGGGTAGTAGCTGCTTAGAATGTTCTTTCTCCGACGGTTGTCCACCCGCCTTGTAGAACCCAGTTCAAAGCACTATTAGGCACTGATTAATGTGAATCCTGGCGCTGGGAAATAAGGAGCAGTGCTACACCCTTTGTTTTCTTGTGCCTTTCAGGTGAACGACAGCTGCTGAAGGACAAGAACAAAACCGACCCGAGAAACTTGAGCAAAAGCTTCTATCCTGTGTAGAAATCCGTGAGCAGGCCAGTTTTTTTAATGAATACGAAATTTAACACTGCGCCCGTGATAATCACATCAAAGGGCTGGCGGTCAATCAGGAGTCAGAGGCTATTATAAACCATTCAGAGTAACTGAGTTCGGAGAGAAAGATGCGGAAAATTGACGTTTTATGTCAGCTTTCCATCTTTAATGCAAAGTAAAAAACGTGGAGGAAAATATTTCTTTTACCTGAGGTGGATTATCTCCGATAAATAGTAAATAGGGGAATCGGTTAAAGCATCACTGTTTGCTGGCAATTCAACTGCAGCGTGCTGTTGGTATACACGACAAATGCACTGACTGTGTGATGCAGGAAGCTGAACTGTGTTGTTTTTCTAAGCAGAAAGAACAATACCACGATCCCATACCATTGTTACAAACGCCACTCTGGGCTATCAATTCGGTTGTTGAACGAACTTCAACGCCTCATGCTCGGTCATGATGAAGAGATTGCAATGAAGCTATAGCATTGCCGTGGTTATCCACACAAGACACCGCCTGAATCTATTACAAGGGTTTCGATCAACTACCCAGAGCTGAGTGCCGCGTGCACCTATGCTTTTTTTAAACAATCATTAATATTTATTTACCATTAAACTACTACGTTCTTTTGAAGGTAACAGTTAGTCATGACTTTTCGTCGTGAATTTAGGTTCTCGAGGTTCACATATATTAGGCCTGTAAGTGGATCACCTTGGTATGGTAGCTCATCAACCATATTGCATGCACTTTTGTGCGACGTTGTTGTTTTTGTCCACTTTTTGGCAGAAATAGCACACTCACAAACCACATGACACCCTATGAACTCATTGCCATTTCGTCATGAATAAATGTATCCTCCACACTGTTGCTGACCAGCAACGTAATAACATGGTTAAAAGCACGCCAGAGTTAACGCTCCTGCATGACCATCCCATGGCCCAAAGTAACACGTGGCCGGGTTTGAACAAACGACTTGGAAAAAAAACAGTGAGGAGTCTAGCGGACTGTAATCAATATTATCGTATGATAGAAACTGTGTTGGTGACAACAAGGATGCAGTTTCTAGACAGCATTGGAACTTTGGGGGAGAACATGTTATCTTTGCTAAATATCAACAGTGGGAGTGTGAAATACGATCTGAGGTTGGTAGCATATCATGCCCGTGTTTGGTGTATAGTAGTTCATAGATAGCGGTAGTGGCGTGTTTCTAGTGTATACCGTTGAAGGGATGCACGAGCGACCGGTCTCCCTAGCACTCGAAAGAAAGAGCAAAATTCTACTTTCACCACTCCCAAATTCTACCAATTCTTTTGGAAGCCCCATCCGAAATTTGTCGCCCTACCTTCTTACCGATTACAGCAAGCAACGCTTGACGAAGTTCGTACGTGAGCAAACACAGGTGGCACATTTGGGTGACCAGAAATCCTAATCACCACCAACCAAAATATACGCTGTTCTCTCGCTCATTTTACGTTGCACTTCCAAGAACTAGTTCTTTCTCTTATTTTAATTATTCTGGCTATTGTCGTTAAAATAAAACACATGAAATTACAGACCAGTCCGGTGTTTTCTTTTTCTTAATATTTCAAAAGGCAAGTGTTATTTTGTCCGTGACTCCAAATAGGTGAACTCAAGATCTTGTTAAAAGCTTGCTAATTATGGTTAGAAGTATACTCCTTCCGAGAACAATGGTGTTAAATACCTCTAGTTTACTTTACCTGACGAATCCAGCTGGTCACCGTAAGTTCGGAAAGTTAACGAAATTCGGACTTTTTTTTACTATGTATTTTGTCCAAGTCTCAGCTTTGTTAGCGCATGCGTTCTGCCCCATTGGAGTCACCGTTCTCTCATCACATTCCTCGGCATTTTAAAGGAAGCCTTCTTCAAAGTCTGTGGAATTACAAATGTTTGTCTTGTGGTGTGGCCACTTTGCCCGAAAATATTGTCGGACAGTCAACACTTTGCTTAATGAATTTCAACTCAGACCAGCATTTCACTTCCTGCGTACGGTCCAGATAAACCCATACCTACGAGAACTACAGTGCATCCGAATGGTGTGGTTTCCAACATCGCGCAGTATCTTGCCAGCATTGACCCGTTTTGCGACATAATCCTGCCGCGCCTTCTGATTTTATTCTCCGGACTGCATTTTCACCAGTTGACTACTCATACTTCCACTGCAAGTTTTTTCGGCTGGAAACACCCACGGAAGCGGATAAGCTGAACTTGACTTGACTTGAACTAACAGCAAGATACTACTGCAATGTTGAACATTTGACGACCTTCGTTTAATTCACCTAATATTCAACAATCAAACATCTTCAATTGGAAGCAAGCCAAGAAAGTAAATCCAAACCAAATGTAATAAAAATCACAATTATTCGAAAAGAATAAAGTTATAAGTATAATTCAAGTGAGATATAGACGATGGAAGTGGAAAAATGCTGATCAAACAAGTCACAGAGTTGTAACGGCCAATTTGTTGATTGGTACGACCGGTAAATGGATTCCCAACTTGGAGAGACTCTAAAATTCCGAAACAATGAAAATGAAAAGAAACTCTCAGGATGATATTACAAAAAGATGTGTGTTATAAACTATACAAGCGGCATCTGTAACCATGTATATCGGGGCTTGCAAAAACAACATCGCACGCAGTCAGTAGTGAGCGCTTCATCAACAAACAATGTAAAGCTTGTAATTATACAAGGTTCCGAGGGTGGATTGTCATTGAAGACATAGAAATTTACATCAAGTTAATCACAGTAGGTCCTATACGTTCTAGGCTAGTGGAACATCCAAGTAAATAGATAATTTGCTTGTCCATCAGCAACCAACATTTCAACCATTTCATAAAGTACACCGAAACGTCTACACACACGTTATTCCGCACGAAAGGCCAAATGACGAGAAGCATCTTCTCACAGAGACACCCAACACTAGAGAAACGATAGGTCTTGTTAAAACACTGGAACGATATTGATGAGTTTGAGAGAACGCTCCAAAAAGTGGTCTTTCTTTGTGGAATTAGTGGTACGTAAGATTTATCGAAACGTATACGTACACAATCATTTCTGTACTGTAGAGAGAGTTCATTAACAGCACTAAGCTCAGATCAATTGGAAAAAGATAAATTCCTATGGCACTACCAAGGTTTCGTCGCACACAGCACAAAGTCATTCCAGTTCGGGTCGAACAGGAGCACAGAAACTCTGAATGGAAAGTACTTCCGTCGAAAGACAGAAGCGGCTGTTATGCATAAGGACAGAATAGGAAACATCGTGCGAATGTCCACGCTGTGCAACAGAATCGGTCATCAGAGACGCGGAGTATACTTGCGCACATGTTCCCTCGAGTTAAGCTAAGCTGTAAACACATTCGAAATAAAGGTATGCAAATGACCAATCTGGCTTCACTGTTGGATTTCACAAGAAAGCGGTATTATAGTTAAGATGACATCCTGAAGTATGTTTCGATTGTAAGTAAGTGAACATTTGTAACAAGGGGGAGGACACGGGGTTTTGTTTTGCGGTGTACTCGACATAATCCTCGAGGTGGAAGGAAGGTCCTCATTTGAGTTACGGAAGCTGTAGCAACAACTGAACATCTTGCTCGTAGGTGATAAGAGGGTGGCGTTGTAAAACATCAAGGTTGAGCGGCTTATTACTGCGTGAAAAGCGGATCAGGCGGGGCAAAGGCAAGAACAACAACCAAAAATTGAGGTAAACCCTTATAAGGGGAGGCTAACTTGAGAATGGGTAGCAAAATGTCCCAGATATATAGTACTTATCCATAATCTCTGCCACCTAGAGCACCCCGTCAAATCTAGGCACCGAATTTCGGGCTAATAAAACATATAGTTCGTGAGTTAACTAGTACGAATGATACACTGGTGCACTCGAAACTGTTCGAGTCCGGGATTGATGTTAAAGATAGTTGGGTACCTATTCTTGGGGAAGTGAATCAGTTAGGGAGAGTTTGATACGCTGTCTTCCCAACAACGGTCTCCGGTTGACACCAACTTTAATGGACACAACTTTCAGCAGGTAACAAGCTCATTGGAGAACCAAGTACGCTGTTTCCTCCCACGTTGTCAATCTGGATAATACTACATCCGCAGTTAGTTTCCCGTACGACCATCCTAACATGGTATTCAAAGGTTATGTATAAGCAACGAACATGCTACAATTGAAAATCGCTGTGGCCACAGAAAATATGGAAGCAATAACGACGAAGGCAGATAAGAGAAGTGTCATGAGACGGCACCATTTTGCTCACATTCATTAGCTTGACGTGTACCTTCCACGAACGCTCCTCTAAGTGTTTCCGTAAAGCGCCAGGAAGCGCCTTACGATGAAACTTTTTGCTGCCGCGACCAGTTTCAAGTGATTCGAGCAACGCGTCATAAGACAGGTGTCAGTGAGACAATATGCGTAAAAGACGGAAAAGCAATTCACTCCCTAAACCACCGTCTTGAGTGGTGAGATGAGCACTTAGAAGAACGGTTCACCTGGTCTCTTTCAATACAACCGACGGAAGAGCTCAGCGGGACCGAATGGAACACTGACGCCAACTGACCATCAGCAACCGAAATCCAGCGTGAGATTTCAATCCTGAAGCGGAAAAAGGCACCTGGCCCAGATGACTTACACCACGCGCTCTTCAAAGGTGGCGAGGTCTGGTGAACAGCTTGACAACCTAAGTGAAGAATATCTAGAACTAAATAAGAATGCCAGGCGGTGGAGCTCCTTCACCGCCATCCCAGTTTTCAAAAGCGTAGCAAGAACGTCGAGTGAAAACAATCGTGGTATCAGCCTGGTACCCGTCGCTCTCTGGCATTATTTTGCACAGGTTGATGGATTATCTGGAGAGATAGATTCGTGAGAATCAGGCCTAGTTTCGCCCTTGTCGGTGATGCACCGACCACACCTTTACCTTGAGACAAATTCTTAAACAGCGCCATTCCTTCAGACGTCCCACGTTGGTCGTTTTTCCGGATTTGAAAGCTGCATTTGATTATGTCGATCGTCAACAGTTTTGGCAGTGTCGGTCGATCAAAGGTGTTCCTTCCAAATTTCTATCCCTCATGAGGGCATTGTATGCGAAATCCTGTGGGTGCGTACGAGTATACGGGAAGCACTCGCCTGAGTTCACCACGTGCAATGGTGTAAGACAAAGCTGTCCTCTTTCCCCTTTCCGCTTCAACTTTGCTATTGATATGTTGCTTGAAATTTCTCTACCTACCTGTCGGGGAGTTCCCTCACAGACATTGAGTGTGCAGACGATATTGTTCTACTTGGTTCCCGTGGACTGGCTGGGGATGGGACTATTTCTCGAATCGGAAAGGCCACTGCAGCTTCCGCTAACCTCCGACACCTATGGCGCTGACGTAACGTCAGCGTGTTTGTCAAGGGCAGAGTTTACACAGCGGCGGTGACATTCCTACTGATTTACTGATGAGAAGCGCGGTCCTATGCGCAGAGGATATACGGAAGATGTTAGTGTTCGATCATCGGTGTCCCTGAAGTATTGTTCAGGTGTGGTGGGAAGATGGAATTAGTGAAGCTGAAGTACGCCAAATGGACTTATGAAGAAGGAACTCTCCCGCGGTAGATGAAGTACTCAGGCTTCATAAGGTGCACTGGCTGGGGTAAGTATTCCGCAAGCCAGAAGACTGCCTGCCTTGCAGAGCTCTTCTCGCCCAGCTCTGTGCTGAGCGGAAGCGACCGAGAGGTGGGCAGTGGATGAACTGGCAACGAAGTGGGAAACTAGTGGGAAAAGCAGTAAACTTGGTCGGGTCGGCTACTGCCGGCTCTCTGGATGGGGATCCCGGGAATCAAAACACCAATGGTTAATGACATTAGCAGAAATGGTCCAGTCGCGCAGTCTGTGGCGCTCGCACCTCAAGGCTTTCGCCTTCAATGCGTAACTACCCAATTTCCGAACAAACTGAACATTCCTTCACCTCCAAGGCTTGGTTGTACGAAACCGTAGCAGCTGGAACCAGTGTGCCTATGGCACACTGGTTTGATAATCAATAAATCCGTTGTCCGTCAGGTAGGGCGGCCAATGCATGTATGGAAATCTACGAATTAGTGGACCACATTAGTTGTTTGAGATCAACCAAAGCTGCGTGGTGGATAGGTCTGTTGGGCCAACTATCTGCTTGGGGTCCACATTGTTCTCTTGCCCATGTTCGGGGTTCCGAAAGTAATGCAGCTAGTGTACGGACATGCGCTTGAATGACGTTGAGGGAAGCCGTTTTCATCATTTACATTGGCGTTGCTTCTCTTTATACCCCAGCATTGGAAACTAATCTATCTCCAAGAGGTGCTTCCAGGAAGACTCATAAGGTGGACGTTGTGGTAGGAGTGAGCATTGCGATATTCGACTGACCGTTAGGACTTCTTGCTCGCAGAACAACGACGCGTTGAATATATGAAATCAATCAAACGTAAGCAGAAAAAGTACGACGACGCGATATCAAAATCTAATTGATAGGCTTTCTTTGTTTGTGCTTGAACGGAAGACACAAACACAACAATGAGTACTGGAACGGTGAACTTCGTAGGGCTTTCATAGTGTGGATGGTGGTACTTCGTCTGGATAGTAGTGTAAGCTGCTTACAGCCAAAGCCCTGGAGACTGAACATGAGAAACTGTTCTCCAAAGCTTTTTGTTATGAGCTATGCCAAAGGAAGAAAACCGGAGAACATTCTCGACGTAACTGATAACTGCAATACTAATGTAGACAGAACGAAGTCGTGCTTGCTGTGTATCAACAAATCAAGAGTTACCTGTGCAAGATATTCGGTGGCCGAAGCAACAGTACTAGACTTTCCTTTGAGGTCCTCTGTTGTTTGCGCAGTGGATAATGTGCGGCTGTCAGTCAACCTGTCTGCTGAAGGTGGTAAAGATACGTCGACTGGTTGGGCGGGTCTTTCCAGGCTTGGCTTCTCTGTTTCCAAGATCTGGGGTAGCCGCCGACTTACAGGGTTGCGCTGTACTTCGTTGAAATAATCAAACAGAGCATCAAACTGAATGTAGGAGTTGATAAGTTTGAAGTCAGGTTGCGAATGGCCAGACACACTAAAACGAAGACATTCAACAAGACGGATGAATCATATGCACCGTATAAGCATCAGCTATTCAAAACCTTTCAGTGCCTGCTCCGGTTCCTTAATCAAACTAATCCACATGAAATACAAAGGATCGGTTAGTACCTACATGTGGTTGCAGTGATGTAAGGTGAAGTTTGGACTAGACTTCAGAAATGCAAACGGAACCTTTATCCAGGATCCTGAAAGCAAGTTGAATCGATGAAATGATTCGGACTTTCTTTGAAACAGACGAAGGCGGGGCGAAGAGAGATATCAAAATGAATCCAACAAGAGTTCAGTGAACAAAACGCGGAGAACTGAAAAATGAAAACAACACTAGAAATTCACAAACAAACACAAGTAAACGCAGGGTCGTCTTTGCTAACTACAGATGCGGCTTTCTTTTACGTCTGGATTAGTTTTCGTCTTCCACCGGGGCTGATAGTGGTGAAGTAGGGAAATCATTCGGCGCTTACTTTGTGGCTCTGATCGGGAGAAGACTTCAACCACTTCTATCACATGTACACAAAGGCGTCAAATTAAAGGACAGAATCTAATTCGTTTAGTCAGCGTTTGTTCAGAAGTAATTTGCAATCAGACATATGCACACACCAATAATTTTGCAACCACAAATCATGAGCCGGATCGCATAGAAACTAGCAACTGATTGGATGGCAGTAAGTAAGCACAATCGGTTTCAAACCTTTTCCAATTGATTGAAAACACAAGTCTAGTTAGTTCTTCTGGTAGCTAACTCCTTAGGGCTAGAGGGTTTCTGTTCCACAAACGAAGAAAATGTAACCAAACTTACACTGGCCAGTCGGATAGACTTGCTACAGGCGGGATACACTGCAAACGTCGCCACAATGTCTGGAACGCGTCCGTTTGTGGAAGGCACATTAAAAGACAGTACAAAGTTTCGCGGAGTTCTGCACTGTATCGCTTATCCAGTAGGTGCATTCGTAAAGCTGATAGGAGAAAGATTAAGCGCAGGAAAAGTAATCAGATGAGGGCACTATGTGGAAAATGGATGGTATCGGCTAAGTCATATTGAGAAATAAGCCGAAATCGGACCAACGTAGGTGTTCGGGGGTCAGCCGTCCCTAATAACCGAACATCACATCATTTGGACGGATGTATCACGTGCAGGACACGGGTCAGACGAAGACATGCCCTGATTGGTCAGAATCCTAGCCAATCGGAATCAAGCACCTTTGACTCGACGCTTCTCGCCCCCTCACGGACATTCTGGCACGACCTTGTGGAACGCTCTGTGACTACCCTATAAATACGGTTGTATTGATTTTGCTTTGTTTCCACAAAGGACTGTGTAGAGCTACCGTGCCTTTTGATACACCATAGTGGGCGGAGCAGGAAGCCAAGGGACCGATACAGAGTTGCACAACCGTACACCAAGTTACAACAGTAGGACAGAAAAGACTGATCAGAAGTGTACCAGCCATTAAACTGAGAATCGGCGACGTGCAATGCTTTGGGTACTTTTAAACCACAGTAACCTGAACACAGAGTTGTGGATCAGTATGGTAGCTATTGACCGGAGGTTACGTTGAACAACCAGATGGAAAAGACCGTTTACCAGGAATGAAAATCACAGTGCTACAAATAGGGGAGGGGGCTATTGGTTTAGAACAATCTCACATGCAGTATACATTTGTGAATGGAATCAGTCACTCAGCAACTCAGAGTAACTTTCAAGCACTCACAGGTATAACTGCCAATCTTACTGGCATATCACTGCACGTGGATCACGCATCCCTACACTATTTATCGGCGTGTTCGTAGTGCGCTGAACTTCAAACTGGTGACCGCCTCCATAAATGGACATAGAATGAAAGCCTTCTGGCAGCCAGTAATTTGAGTATGAAGCAGAACAACTCGACGCAATAGACATTCGAAGTTAGAAATGTATATCGCATCCTTTAAGTAGAGATGTTGAAAAATTTCAATACGGATGAGATAATAGTATAGTGGTACTCGAGTTTACAGTGGGATAAGTTGTAATCACAAAAGGCCACAAAAGAAATATTCCCGTATGATTAACTAGGCTACATCGCTGGTGGGTATCTCATCATCATCATCATCAAAGACAGCAACATCAGTGTTGCCACTGATGCTTCACTGCCGTACAACAATAAAGTTCGTTTAGTTATATATATATATGTAATTGTATTAAAAGCTCTACAGTGAAGAGAAGAGAAAAAGTGTGGGGGAGGAAGCGGACCTAATGCTGGCCTATGTCAAGCATACTGAGGTGCCTACACCTCCAACCGCTCAATCAGACAATCTGGAAAG